ACTTTTCACAAAATTATCTATAAAAAAGATAAATAATAATAATAAATTATTAATGTGGTAATATTTTAAATAGAAAGGGATGAGTGGGTATCGCTCAGCAGTTCATTAGGTGTTTAGAGTGCCACTGTAATAGATGTGATAAATTTTAATTCTATGATTTAAGATTATTGTATGTATACTAAAAGATATTCTTGTAAAGACAGTCTATTTGCCTAACTATTAGTAAGTTGTGATTAAAGCAGTTTCTGTGGTTTTCTAAAGCTTTTTACCATTGCATTTGAAAACGTCATAATGTGTATAAAATATAAATTATAATTATATACTCTAAAAGTTTCAAATAATATTTTTAAATCACAACAACCTAACTAAATTCGTTTTATTATGTGTAATTTTTTCCAAATTTGTGTAAAAATAACTATTTTACAAAACAAATCTCGTTTTTATATTTTTTGTTACAGAATTATTTATTTATGTGGAACCTTGTTAGGATGAATTATAAGAAATCAAGTGAATATCCCATGTTGTAGAATTTTGAACTTTACGTTTGTAAAAATTTAATTTGACTTTCCGAAGGAGAACGTTTTTCTTTTCGATAAATGTAGACAATTTTATGAAGAATCTTGTAGTACATTCTCAAATCTTAGGTATAAAAATAAAAATGTTTATGAATTAACTCAAAATGTTTTGCAAATGTTCTTGATTTATACGAATTTCGTTTTACCTTCAGACGACCATACAAAAATTATTGTAGATTTAAGCTCAACTATTTTTTTTTTTAATTTCCGCATTACAACCTACGAAGAACTAGAGTATTGTCTACGTTATCAAGTTTTTAAACCAAATGAGCATTTTTTGATCGACATTAATTTTAAAACAAAATATGAAATGTTTAAATAAATATGTTATATAATATGTTATGGAAAATGCTAATTCAAACATTCAGGGAAAATTGTATGGATCATATTTTTGTATTCATTGTATTTTATTATGTAAATTTCACACTAAAAACCATAATTGATCTTGTCAATAACCGATTTCGACCTATTCCACTTTTCCCGTCTCGTTGTTGCACTCCGGTCTTATTAATTATTATTTAACCTATTGTAGTATTGATGACTAACAGTAAAACACGGTACTTTAAACACATTAATATAATATCATGTACTTAGTGGTATTAAAGGTATCCAGACAGTCTTCGCTCTCAGAATCTGTTTTTTTTTTTACAATAATTTCATATTATTCAATTCAAATTTAACAAATCCTTTGCAGTTACTTTTCTTAATACTTCATGTGCAATAGTGCGTTAACCACTTACACGTTTTTTGTTGTTGTTGAAGGTACAAACAGTTGTAAAGAAATCTTCTATTACTTATATTTTCTAATGGATACTATGAAATTAAAAATTGTTAAGAATTTCTAATGAAAAAGAATTTACATATTATCAAGATTTGTATGAATTTTGACAACATTTGAACTTTAAATGCATATGAAAAATAATCATTCCCGTTTATCTTTAATATATTTGAACTGCTATTGAAAAATTTTTTCCTCCCAATAATTTGATGATGGAGAGAAAAAATACACACATCACTGTATGACCAATGTACAGTTATCGAGATGTCCAAAATGACAGAATCTAATAGAAAATAAATAGACCATACTATAATATTTCCACAATCACTCATGAAAATGATAGTTGTTTGTTTCATTGAATGTAAATATACTGTTCTCTTGCTCGTTGTATTTTATAGTATGATTCAATTCTCAGGGTGTCTTTTATAGCAGTGAATTTTTTTCATATTAAACAGGTCCAAAGGTGAGTTTTAAAAGCTTCATCTTTTATACTGAATAAATATTGACCACTATTGGCACAACAACTAACCAACTATACATTTTAAAAACATATTTACTAAAAAGTAAAATGATAACGTACTTCTTGAAATAGCTATAAAAAAAATTTGATGTTTTTAATTATAAAATATTCATGAAATGTTATGATTAATGATGAAAGTCAAGTGATTTATTTGAAAATTTCTCAATAAATTTAATACAAATTTTTCAGTAGGAAACAAACTTTTAAGTGTAAATAATTATCGGTAGAAATAAGGAACACAGTTTTATCTGATCTTAATTTGTATTGTAATATCTTAGTTTATTTGGAAGTTAATTAAATATTTATTAATTTTTTATTTCTGCATAATATTTAACTTGGTATCAAAATTACTCCACATTATTTATGAAAATAAAAGTTTATAATATTTTAAGGCTCCAACAAGTATGCCAAAAGTTATGAAAATTCACAACATGTGTAAGAAATATAGGGTCTTTACAAAATATATATGAATAGGTAGTTTATACTCGAAATGTTTGTATTTATTAACCACATTGAAAACATTACCGGAATTGCAATGAAAATACAAGTAAGAAAAATATAATTATAGCTTCACACAAAGTAGCTGATAATTTGATCAGTTAATACTTAATATACATTCGGGTCCACACTTACACTCAGTCTTAATGTACAGCTTTTGTTAGGACTAATGAGTGTTCTAGATTTGAAATGTTTATTTTTTGTGATTAAAAATTGATTAAGAAACAATTTTGAGAAAGCATGTTCGAACGCGGCTGATTTTCCCGCCGAATCAGCACATCGCCCAAAGGCTTTACAAGTCTCCGCGATCGGTGTGGAGTGTCCGCGACAGATCATCCCCCCTCTACACATCCGTGGCCGACGATGTCCACTCCAACCTTCGTCCGTCCGCTTGCGAAGTTTTGTCTTTTGCCAACGGCCGAACCTGGCGGGTCCAGTTCACTCGCCTGTTCGCCACATTTGTTTTTTCCTTTGTCAACCGCGTGGTCAACCGACCTTATTTCTGGTCGTTCGTATAATTGTCCATTTTCTTTTACGTGGTGTACGCGACAATCGTCGCAAGTCTCGAGACAGTCGGGGCCTGACGTGTGCGTCCCATCCGTTATTTAGTATCGAATATCGATGATCCATTTATTGTGACACTGCCATCATAATTTCTCCATACGTGCCACCACGGTCGCCTTACCAGTCCATACTACAGCGTGGCTTTGCCGAGTTGCAGACAGCAGTACAGGTCATACTTTCTGTTCTCATTTATTGTTATTAATTATTGTATATATTTTATATTGTATGTATTCAGACGAATAAGTTGTGATTTAATTATTAAGAGTAATACGGGCCCGCACATTATTATTTATTATCATTTGTCATGGTTATATACGCTGTGTTGCGATTAATATATTAAGTCTGGCGCACGGCGTCAGTTTATTGTATCATAATTTGTATTTTGTATTATTGATATTTTCACACCGTGAGGTACCTTGTATATTCCAACACTCCGCAAGTCGTGGCCGACAACCGCCGCCCTCGTAGGAGCGGTCGCGGCGCAACATTTTTGGTAGCAGAGCGTGGTTATCCGACCTCAGTGGGGGGTTCGGTAGCGGTGTGTTGGTATTTGTTTGGTAGGCTGGTATCTTCATAGTGTGTCCCGCGGTGCTTATAGGTGACATAGTTTATATTTATTTGTATTTGACTAGTACACGGCTCTCGTAATGGCAGACGAGAAAGAAGTCGAACGTACTACGCGCCTGCTCGCGCGCGCTAAGGTAAAGCGCACTTCTGTTATATCGCAAATTCGAGCTATACATGCTATGTCATTACGGGTAAAAGCGGAGCCAGATTTAGCGTCGGAGTTTTCGCTATACGCGGCGGATTTAGATGCGCTATGGTTCCAGTTTAGGTCTGAGGACGATTCTGTTTTAGATCTGTTATTGGCGTCCGATAAGCTAGCTGACTATTCACCCGACCTGATAGCGGAGGTTCGCCAGCTTATTAATGCGGCTAAGATTATCGCTCAGCGGTTAATCCCTACAGGTGCTGACTCCATAGACTTATCATATATCCGAGATAATAAGACATCGTGCGCTCAGAAACCGCCCGAGGATCCGATTAAGTCATTCTCCCGTTTGCCTGATATACCTCTACCCACGTTCGAGGGCGATTATCGATCTTGGCCTAATTTCCGCGACAGATTTTCCGCGCTCGTTGATACGCGACCCAACTTATCGAACATCGATAAAATGTACTACTTGATAGGTTGTTTAAAGGGTGCCGCGGCCGACGCTGTCCGAGGCATACCGGTGTCGGCGGATAATTACGAGCTAGTAAGGAACACGTTATCTGACAAGTTTAACCGACCGCGATTAGTCGCAACGTCCCTCGTCGACAAACTACTACAGTCGCCGGCCATGACACAAGAGTCGCTAACCGACTTGAACACATTCGTAGGAATGTTTAGTGAGTCAATTTCATTACTAGACGCGCTTAAAATACCAGACGCTGGGTCTTTTATTTTATTCTCAATAGCGTTCCGATGTCTACCTATTTCCACCCGCAAACTGTTTGAGGCGAGTAGTACTGTGGATTACCCGTCGATAGGACAATTATTACATTTTCTCCGGTCCCGAGTGGCCATTCTCGAAGTCGTGGGTGAAACCCACAAAGGTAGTGCTAATAATGCGCCGTCTAAGTCATCGGGCAAATCGACTGGTCAGTTCCGCAAGGGGGGAGATCACGCGGGGAAGTCGCGGTCACAGCCAAAACAAGTATTACGTGCCCGTGTTGTGCGGGTTCCCACGCACTAACATCGTGCTCGCGTTTTAAAAATTGGAGTCCCGACGAGCGCGCTCGATGGACGCGCGACAAAAAATTATGCTTCAATTGTTTTAGTGACGAGCATTGGGCTCCGAAGTGTCAATCTAAATCTAATTGTCAGAATTGTACGCGTAATCACCATTCGCTTCTTCATCATCTGTCGTCCAGTAGAGATCGCGATGTTCAAAACGAGGCATCGGTCGCCGAAGCGTCGTTATGCGCGTCCGTACCACGTCCCCTTCCACATAAGGCGTCGTCTATAATTTTAGGTACCGCACTAGTACATATGCGCGATCGGTCCGGGTCGTGGCAAACAATGCGCGCATTAATAGATTGCGCGTCGCAGATATGCGCCGTTACGAGCGCGTGCGCCGATCGGTTAGGTCTCAGGCGCTCTCGCTGGACAGCCCCGATAAGCGGTTTATCCGGGGTCCCCGTAGTAAATGTTCAAGGCCGTGTCGAGTGTAATGTACAGCCGCGGTTTGCGTCCGAACCTGTACTTTCCATAAATGCGTGGGTGTTACCCACCATAACAGGTGACCTGCCCCGAACAACGTTACCTTCGGGCATTAAAGATAGGTACTCTAATCTCGCCTTGGCTGACCCGTCATTCGATATCACTTCACCTGTTGATGTATTACTAGGCGGCGATGTATACGCGTCAATAATGGACGGTCGCAAAATTTCAGTGGATAAAGCTCTGCCCACGGCGTTCAGTTCGGTCTTTGGTTGGATTCTAATTGGTCCTGTGTCCGACGGAGAGGCTCACCCATATCAATCGGTGCCGGTCGCTATGACTGTTTCCATTGAAGGATTAATGGAACGGTTTTGGCAGGTTGAGGAGCCGGAGGCTGCCCCCTCAACGTTTACGGAGGAGGGAAGTTGTGAAAAATTATTTTGTGAACAGTCAATGTGCTTACCGTGCGGTCGTTTTTCGGTACCGTTGCCGTTTCGCGCACCACCGTCAGCTGACACTTTTGCCGGGTCCCGCGAAGTCGCGGTGCGACGATTTGACGCACTCGAACGTAAATTGGCTTCGAACCCTATATTAAAAATATTATATGTCCAGTTCATGTCGGAATACATTTCGCTAGGTCATATGTCCGTCGCAACGTCCCCTGGACGTTATTTTATCCCGCATCACGCTGTGTATCGCCCGGCGATCGACGATCGAAAAATACGTGTCGTGTTCGACGCCTCCGCGCAAAGTAGCCGCGGCCCGTCATTAAATAACTGTTTGTTTACCGGTCCTAAACTACAACAGGACATAGTCGACATTTTGACGAGATTTCGGGTCCCCAAATACGTTTTTACGACCGACATCTGCAAAATGTACAGACAAATATTAATTTTACCGGAATATCGTCAATTCCAACATATTTTATGGCGACCATCGCCACACGACGAACTTGTAGAATACGAGTTAAATACCGTTACATACGGCGTTAATTGCGCGCCTTATCTCGCCCTACGCGTGTTACAAACTATTGCATCCGACGATTGCGATAATTTCGAATTTGTGCGTAACGCGTTGACGCGCCAAACCTATGTCGACGACATTTGCGACGGGGCGGATACAATTTCGAATGTATTAAAGTTGCAGTCCGATTTAATCTCTGTTCTAACCAAAGCGGGTTTAGAACTGAAAAAGTGGGCGTCAAATACGCCATGCGTTTTAGACGCGGTGCCAGCCGCAGATCGCGTGTGTGCACCTATGCCGTTCGAATCGGTCGACGGCTACGGTACTAAGGTGCTCGGCTTACAATGGCACCCCGAAGGGGACTACTTTTGTTGCGCGTTGAGTCTCGATTCGGAACCCGTATGCACTAAACGTGGCATTCTATCCTTAGTAGCGCGTATATTCGACCCGCTTGGTGTGTTCGATCCCGCGGTATTTTTCGCGAAATGTATAATGCAGCGGACCTGGCACCTCGGCATGACGTGGGATGAGCCTTTACCGAACAACATTCACGACGAATGGATCGCGTTCGTCTCCGACTTACCGTCGTTATTAAATATTCGGGTTCCACGTTATTTGAACTCGAGTCACGGCGCGCCGTGCTATTTACTAGGATTTTGTGACGCCTCGCAACTCGGATACGCGGCGGTCGTGTATGTGCGCATGGCTGACGTCGATGTTAACGCTTCTGTATTTTTAATTGGTACGAAAACTAAATTAGCACCGATAAAATCATTAACCATTCCCCGGCTAGAATTAAACGCCGCGTTGTTATTGGCTCGATGGTTAGGTCGTGTCCGTGACATTTTGGCCCCGCAACTTAATATTGTCGGCATAAATGCCTGGTCGGATTCCACGATAGTACTATCATGGTTAGGTGCCCCCCATGAAGCATTCAAAATTTATGTGTCAAATCGAGTGCACCAAATTCGCACTTTATTGCCGGATTGTCGATGGCGGCATGTTGACTCGGTCAATAACCCCGCCGACTGCGCGTCGCGTGGCGTAATGCCGGCTGCCCTACAGCAGCACAAATTGTATTGGCATGGCCCACAATTAGCGTACGGTGACCCATCGGAATGGGACGATGCTCGTTCGCCGCTGCCGTTGTGTGACCTGCCTGAACTTCGACCCGTGTCTTGTGCCGCCCGTGTTGACGAAACTGACGACGAGTGGTTTAATCGCTTTTCCAGTTACGACCGTATGTTACGAGTAGTGGCGTACATGCGCCGCTTTATAGCCGCCGGCATCCGTCGAGTACGTCAGCAGCCTGACCATGTCGCACCCGCATATTTGCAAAAATCCGAACTAGATAGCGCCGCTCGCATATTAGAGGCTGAGTCCCAGCGCATACATTTTTCTGCTCTGTTACAAGAATTGTCGACAGGTAAACATGTTTCCTCGAAGCCGCTTGCCCGTTTGGCGCCCTTTATCGACCCGGACGGTGTGATTCGCGTTGGCGGACGCCTGCGGCATTCGTTATTAAGCTATGATTGTAAGCATCCAATTTTATTGGCTAAGCGTTCGCATTACGCATACTTAGTGTGCCATCGTTGGCACCTAGTGACTTGTCATGCTGGCCCCCGAGTTCTTACCGCGCTTATCTCACGTCGTTTTTGGGTCGTATCGCTTCGATCGGTGTTACATAATATTATTACAAATTGTTCGGTTTGTGTGAGATTTGACGCTAAGCGTGTGCAGCCGTTAATGGCAGATCTGCCCGACACTCGTGTCCAACAGCGACGACCTTTCGAGCGTGTAGGCGTCGATTATGCGGGCCCTTTGCAAATGCGTGAGACTAGACTACGCAAATCACGAGTTTTCAAAATTTATATTGCGGTCTTTATTTGTTTTACTACGAAAGCTGTCCACCTCGAAGTGGTGACCGACCTATCGACCGACGCGTTTCTAGCCGCGTTCGATCGCTTTATTGCCCTTTGAGGCTTACCGAGCGATGTGTTCTCGGACTGCGGCACTAATTTCGTCGGGGCTGATAAAAAATTACGCGCGCTTATTCACAGCCCGGAAGGCCGGGCCGCTATTGCTAATTCGCGTGCTGTTTGCGAGTGGCATTTCAATCCGCCCAGTGCCCCCCACTTCGGAGGCTTGTGGGAAGCCGCGGTGCGATCGACGAAACGACTTCTAATACGATTCATAGGGACGCACATCTTTACTTATGAAGAGTTTACGACAATATTAGCACGCGTAGAGGCCGTTCTAAACTCGCGTCCTCTCACGCCCGCCTCGCCAGACCCGCATGACCTCGAGTGTTTGACTCCTAGTCATTTTTTAATAGGTCAACCGCTCCTCGCCGTTCTGCCTAGATCGGGTCCAGAGTCCGCCAGTAGTCTGGCCGATCGGTGGAAGTTAATGGACCAGTGCCATCAGTCCTTTTGGCGCCGTTGGTCCTCTGAATATTTAACCACATTGCAGGAGAGGTCCAAGTGGACTAGGGGAGTCCTCAATGTCAAACTAGACGATATGGTCGTGGTAGTAGACAATCAAAATCCGCCGCTAATGTGGCGACTCGGCCGTATAGTAGAGTTATTTCCTGGTGCTGACGGTCGCGTCCGTGTCGCTCGAGTATTAACGCGCGCAGGTAGCGTCGTCCGACCAGTGGTCAAGCTCGTGCCGTTACCCACCAAGTAACGCCCAGTCTGTCACAGTAGGTACTAGCTGGGACCACTATGCGTACCACGCATGCGGAAATCCTCAGCGCATCGCTCCAACCCATCCGTTTTCTTAATACATTTTTTCTATATACCAGGCGCGCTCGCCAAAGATGTTGCCAAACGCTTAGTGTTGGGTTAAGGTGCTCTATGGCTTGGAATATGTATATACAGATTATACTTCATTTTATGTATTATATTATTAATTATTTTTTATTTTTTGTCAGCGTTGAACCATATGTTCGTGTATTTTGTTGAAATATTTATATTGTATTATTTTACCTATTTGTTATATTAAAAAAAAAAAATGTACACTGCTGACTCGACACGACGACGACTTCGGACGAGCATGGCCGCCGATGGATGCATCGATTTCCAGGAAAAGGAACAGCATTCAACCATCATCCGGTTCGATCGACTTCGTGTGAGGCATAGCTCACGGGGGGAGGATGTTCGAACGCGGCTGATTTTCCCGCCGAATCAGCACATCGCCCAAAGGCTTTACAAGTCTCCGCGATCGGTGTGGAGTGTCCGCGACAGATCATCCCCCCTCTACACATCCGTGGCCGACGATGTCCACTCCAACCTTCGTCCGTCCGCTTGCGAAGTTTTGTCTTTTGCCAACGGCCGAACCTGGCGGGTCCAGTTCGCTCGCCTGTTCGCCACATTTGTTTTTTCCTTTGTCAACCGCGTGGTCAACCGACCTTATTTCTGGTCGTTCGTATAATTGTAAATTTTCTTATACGTGGTGTACGCGGCAATCGTCGTAAGTCCCGAGACAGTCGGGGCTTGACGTGTGCGTCCCATCCGTCATTTAGATCGAATATCGATGATCTATTTATTGTGACACTGCCATCATACTTTCTCCATACGTGCCACCACGGTCGCCTTACCAGTCCATACTACAGCGTGGCTTTGCCGAGTTGCAGACAGCAGTTGTACAGGTCATACTTTTTGTCCTCATTTATTGTTATTAATTATTATATATTATATTTTATATTGTATGTATTCAGACAAATAAGTTGTGATTTAATTATTAAGAGTAATACGGGCCCGCACATTATTATTTATTATCATTCGTCATTGTTATATACGCTGTGTTGCGATTAATATATAAGTCTGGCGCACGGCGTCAGTTTATTGTATCATAATTTGTATTTTGTATTATTGATATTTTCACACCGTGAGGTACCTTGTATATTCCAACACTCCGCAAGTCGTGGCCGACAACCGCCGCCCTCGTAGGAGCGGTCGCGGCGCAACAAAGCACAAGAACTATTTCTAATGTAAATACACTAAGAAATTTTCAAACAAAAATGATTTATAAAGATGATTGAAATATAAAAACAAATAATGGTGCATACCTTGATCTAAATAATAAGAAACAAAAAGAATAATCATATTAGTACCATATTATTTGTCTAAAAGTGTTAAATCAAAGGCTCACTACAAAACAATTAACTTTAATAATTAACTCGGTTATTGTTGCTTTATAATTAATGTAACTTATTAGTTATTATAAACATAAAGTTGATCAGCATTCATCAACAATACATAAAATCACTAACCATCGAGATAATAAACTAACAAAATAACAACAATATCTATCTAGCTATATCCTTAAATATTTTATAAGATTATTTGGTAGGTATATGGCCATTTATGTCATCCGAGTATTTAGAATTTCATGGGCTCGAAACCAAAAGATAATATGGTACCTATCTAAAATTATCGAATTCTTCTGGATAGCAATTTCATGCTTTTGTAACTGTATTTCCTCCTTTGGTAAACTATGATTTTTTATAATTGTCAAATCCCTATTTTATATTATCACGTAAATGGAACCTAGACATTGTAGTACTATTGTACTTCATTTCTCCAAGTTAAAAACTAAAATTGCGCCTTTGTTACTGGCGTTGCCCATCTACTGTGTTAATGTGTTATATATAATCCATGCTAATTAATAAACACAACAGACGGTGTGTTATGTTTAAATGTATGCACGTTTACCACAACTTCCAAATTACTCTCAAAATCTATGTTTCATTAAACTACAAGTACACAATTTTGAGTCTGAAAATCAGTCAGTGATTGCTCTAGTCTAACAAAAACTGAAATGAGAACCCCGCTGTTATTGATGATCCTGTAGTCCTGTGCCTTCCGTTTCTTCTGAATCTTGGTAGTAAATGTTAAAGGTTGATATGTGGGCCAATGTTTAGCTATTAGTGTAGTGTGACTCTATGCATTTAACTCTGTTGGACCAGATATCTTCTGTGAAATGCAGCTGTTTTTAAGCTTCTTCATTGTCGAGCGTGGACCATGTAAGTTGAGGTTGAGGCCAGTAATAATCGAATGTTTTGCCTTGCTTGTGTATTGAACTCACTTGTCTAGTTTGTCTAGGTTATCGAGTGGTTCTGTCGGGTTTTTGTTGAATGTTGATTCCTTGGTAGCCTTGAGAAGGATGATTTTAGTATTTGTGTGTACCGTTACAATATAATCTATAATAACTCATTCTTAACCATTTTTTGGTTCCGAGCACATGAATATTTATTAATATTATTAATACAACTTTGAAATTTCACACAAATAAAATTATAAAAATACTAGATGAGAATCACGTACGTACTTTCTAATCCAACTAGAAAATAAATATTTTTAATTGTTATTAATATATGTTATATCATATAATAACTTGGATAAATTAAATTATAACATCACATAATAGGCCTAACCAAAATTGAAAATTAATAAAAGAAAAGGAACAGAAATTTTAAAATTCAACTATTAATAGTTCAACAAGTTCCAAAATGCATTGAAAATGTCTATAAAAATGATATGTGATATATTTGAGTGGTATCACTGATGAGTGGTTACTAACTTCACTCACCCACAGCTTCTCGTAATACTATCAAACATTATTTCGATAATATTTTTTGTATAGTAGATTGTTGTTTTCAAAATGGAAATATAAAAAAATAGATTTTTTTCAATCTCGACAGACAAAAACAATTTTGTTTTTTATAAATTCATACTAAGTATTGTAAATAATTTGTAAAGTTATTTTTAATGTTAACAACCAATCATATAAAATGTATCAAATCGTCTACTAAAATTACCCGTGTTGGGGAAAATAGAAGCATTTTTACTGTTTCAAAAAAGGAAATAAAAAAAAACACATTTTTGTAACTGATACTTTCTCACTCCTGTCATACTATAAAACTTTTTAAAGACACGTTGCAGACAAAATAACATAATTCAGTAATACCATTGATTATTACTTATTAGTAAAAATTTAATTATTATTTATTATCAATGGGAATACGTACAATGCTTTTCTATAAACAATAATGTTCAATGAATTAATATACATATTATTTATACATACAATTTTTCATAAACTATATATTATAATTTATATTCATATGTTTATATTATGATTAATTTAAGAACTCTATATTTTGAGAAAAATGTCTTTCAGATTATTGTTTTTTTTTTTTGGCTTCTAGTAAGAGTACTATTATAGCTCTACAATTTACAATAATATTTAGATATTGGTATTAAATGTTATTCTGAACTTCAATAATTTATACGACATATTAAATATAGCGCAGTTAAATCAAATAAAAAAAACAATTAATCAAATGTCTGTAAAAACACTGAACTATGAAATATTTTAGTCCATGTCTAGCTTACATGTTTGAATTGTTAATGTATAATA